GATAGTTTTTGATAATATTCCAAAATATTGTACCTACTGTAAGCATCAAGGACATGCTGAAAAAACATGTCGTTGGAGGATCGAGGAAAGCAAGGATGGTGAAGCTGTCGTGGAAGCAACTGAAGGTCTGGATAGTATTGACCAGCTGCAAGGTGATGAAAGGGCGTATCTTAATGCTAAAAGGGATATGCAACAGAGTGGTGAAGCAAGAAAAGAAAATTTAACTGAGCAGCAGAAGATACAATCAACAGGTGATCAAAGTGATATTGTGGAAAACTCCAAGGTGGAAATCAGTGCAGCTAAAGGTAATACTGGAGATATTGATGCAAGGTTTGACAAAAGCTTTCTCATAGATACATGTAGAGGAGATGTTAATGCTAATTTAAATACAACAAGAACTAAACAAAGAGGTAAGGAAAGCGCAGCAACAGATGTAACATTGACAGAAGCAACAACAAAAAATAATCTGGTCATTCGAGGTTCAAATGGTAATGATGTAGGAGAGAATGCAATGATAGATAAGGGCCCTCCTAATCCTTCACGTGATGTCCCTGCTAGTCAGGCATTAGCAAGTATTTTTAATGCAGTAAATCCTATAGTAGCAGCTTATAAGCTGGCCAGAACTACAGCTCTTGTGTCAGATTTTGATCGAGGTGGAGAGCTTGTGAAATCGAAGGAGAAGGCAGGTGATGCTAGTGTTTCAAAGGGCGTGAGAGATAATAGGATATTGAAGGATATCCATGCAGCTACAATCTTTTCAGGGATGCTTTCAAATACTGCTGGTGCATTGAAGGATCCTACTGAGCGAGACGCTACTGCAAAAAAGCTTGATATGGCTCAACAACAGGTTAATATAGCTGCGTTGGCAAAGTCTTCTACTGCTGAGATGAGGGCTGCACAAGTGGTGAATCTGAAGGCTACTACTGATGGGGATGCAACTGGTGTGATTTTTTTGGATGGAAAAATTGCTGCAGATGGTGAGGCAATGGCAACAAATTGTACACAGCTTCAAGAACCTTTAACTGGTCAGCCTTCTTCAGGTGCACAAAATGATTGTTTCATGACTATCAATACGGGGCAATCTTTTGCTACTGTATCTAATGTTAAGGAGGTGTTACATGAAGATGTAAAGGGTGACAATAGGGGTGAGGATAACGAAGAAGGCTGGAGGTCAATAACTCGCAAAAGTAAGGATGCACCAGGAATGAGATCTCCAGATCGAACTGTTGGTGACAATAAAATTTGTAGTGTTAATGCGTATGATGTTTTAATGGTTGATGATCAGATAACAAATGCCAATATTGACAAGGATTCAAAAAATAAGGAAGGGCAGCTTGTTGTCGTTGACAACAATATTGCACCTTCTTCAGCAACATTGTTACACCAAGCACACAGCTCTTATGTTCCTATGCTGCATTTTTCGACTGCTCATGTGGAGAAAATCATCAAAGATACTCAGGTTGCCATGATGTTGAATGTATATCCCATGATCAAGCAACGTTTGATCACATTGAATACGTCAGTTCAAGAAATTCCTTCCCAAAGTGGGGAGTCTTTTGGTGAGCATGCAGAGGAGTCTGGACAGCACCTAATGTCAACAGGCAACAATCAACAACCAAACACAGCTATGATCTCAATTTCTCAAGCATCCACAAATGAGTTAAGTGCCTCTAAGGATCAACAAGGTGTGACAAGTGCAATTGTTGTTAAAAGCAAGGCCTGGGCTGATCGAGTTGATGAGCAGGAGGACATAAATGATCCTGATTTTGTACATTCCAGGCAGCAGCAAATTGCAGCAGTTGATGCTACTGGAAGCTCCAGTACAATGGCTACAAAGGCTTTGATTTCAGATCAAGACCGGGCACTACTGGATATCTTGGGCAGTCCAAAACCTCAAAGATGTGCATACTCAACTGGCTCAAAAACGACTTCACAAAAGATAAAAGCAAAGAGACATGAGCCAAGTAGTGCAAAGAGAGTAAAGAGGCAGGAACCATTATAGATGATTTTACAAGAAGAAGATAATCAAAAACTAGAGCTCAACTTAAGTCTTGATATTTATGATGAAGCAGAAGAAGATGAATTGGCAGCCACAAGTGGAGATTTCTCTCCTAAGCATAGTAAAATGAAGGAGGCTAGTCAAGGAGTAACACTCAGACAACTTCCAATGAGAGCTGCAAAGCAAAAAGGGGTTGCCCCTGCCACATCTACAAGGTCCAATAGATCGGAGAAAAAATGAAGAATTTTGAAGATTACTTGAAGACAGGTAAGGAGAATTTTAAGGAAGTTCAAATTGAAGAATTCACAAGTTTGATAAATGAGGGGCAAGACTATAAGTTCTACATGGTTTTAGTTTATCATTTTCAAAGCATCATCATTTGTAATAGCGTCGTCGAGTGTGTTATAAACTCTATGACGATCATAGAATATTTGGTTCTTTCAAGTTCCTATTTTTTACATGCTTGCTAGAAGATGAGGCTTTTTTCTTTGCCTCAATAGGATTAGTAAGGTAAGGTCCATGCCCCCCTTACATGTACTCTTCCTATGTGGTTCGTGTTTTATTTTATTATTAATAAAACTAGCCCTAGGCACCTGCCTAGTGGGTTTGCTTAAAAAAAACCCTAAATCCCAAAAAAACCTGCGTCCGAGTCTAGAGAGAGAGGCTCTGGCAAAAAAAGTGAGCGACTAGAGAGAGAAAACTCTGTTTCTTGCTGCCATGGCCAATCCCGCCGGCGGCCAGCCACCTTCGACGGCTGGGCTGCCTCCCCAACCACCCCCCAAAATTACCCAAGCATCGACGACAACAAACAACAATCCTACTACACTAGATTATTCAAAAATATTTAAGCCTGCTGCGATGAACAGTGCCATGCACGTAAAAGCCACAGAAGTTGATCCTATTCCTCTACGACGTGCTACATTGTTAAATGGACAACCTTTAGTTCAGTTTACGGAAGCAGAAGTGGAAAGGATGAATGTGATCGAAGGACTTCAATATGCAGTTGTTGGAAAGCTCTCATATGGATGGCCTGATATACAACAATTGAGACATATGATTCCTACGCAGTGTGGAATTAAGGGAGAATGCAGCATTGGTTATTTAAGGGACAAGCATGTTCTAATTCATTTAACTCTGTGGGAGGATTTTCTGAATTTTAATTCGAAGGGTGCATACTATATCAAGGATAGAGATGGATTTGAATATCAATTAAGGCCACAAATTTACGATGCTAAGTTTAAAGTTGGGGAAGAAACTCCAAAAGCTATGGCATGGATATCTTTTCCAGGTTTGTTGCCTACATATTTTGTTAAAGAATGTTTATTCTCTCTAGCTTCAGCTGTAGGAAAGCCATTGCAACTCGATATGGCCACCATTAACAAGACTAGACCTAGTTGTGCTAAGGTTAAGGTCCTAGTTGACTTACTTGTTGATTTGCCTAAGAAAGTTAGGATGGATATTTTGAATGAGGCAACAGGAGAGGTGCGTACTGAATGGGTCAATATTAGGTATGATATGTTGCCTAAATATTGCAAAGAATGTAAGTTACAAGGCCATGACATGATGAAGTGTTGGAGGATTCACCCTGAACTATTTGAAGACAGAACCAATAATAGACAAGAAGCAGATAACAATGAGCAAGATAAGAGTAACAAGCAGCCTCTAATGATATTATCAAGTGGGAAAGTAGTAGGCAATATGGCAGATAAGGGGAAGGAACAATGGAAAGAAGTGAAGGGTAATAGAGTTAGGACCGTTACAAATCAGAAGGGAACACAAGGGAATAATGAAACAACTGGGAAAGAACTAGTACCAGCAGGAAGGGAGATTGTTGCTGTTGAAAAAGTTGCAGAACAAAGTGTTCAAACTACCAACAAATTTGTAGTGTTGGAGGTACAAGAGGATGAGAACAATAAAAATAATCAATTGGCACTAGTGGAGGACAATTCAAAGAAAAACAGTCCTGTTCAAAAGACAAATGAATCTGAGAATTTGAATTTAAATGTTCAAGTAATTAAGCCTACTGTGTCCAGAATTGCATCCTCTAAGGTTGATAATCAAGCAAATCTTAATGAGGGTAGGAAAGGAGATAAAGAAATGGTGGAGCAATGTGTACCAAAAGAAGCTACTGCCCATTGGGTTAGCAGAACTTTTGGTGGGAATGTGGCAACAAATCAATCATGTCAAGAAATTCCTTCTCAATCATGGGAATTTACTGCAATTGATAGGATACCTGAAGGGGATGAAAGAGAGCAACTCAATGGGAAGAAGTTATGGCATCAACAAACTGAAGTGGATTCAGAAGAAGGTGAATTACCAGATGGTGCTACTGGGGAAGAAGAGTCATCAGATGAACAAAATGATAAGGAAGAACAAAGTGTGAATAACACAAGCAAAAAGCAGAAAACAAGGGTGGAGAGCAGTAGCAATGTGGAGAAACCTGTACAAATTGAAGAAGAGCAACAGAATGCAGAAGAAGAAGGAAATAAACAGGTGTTGAATTTCAATCCTAGCAAAGAGTTATCTCCAGCTGATCCAAATATAGCTCCTACAAAACCTACTGGTGGTACAGAAGAAGGTGTGAAAGGTATTAAAGAAGGTAATAATGAAGAGCCAACAGAGAAGCCCCCAGATCCTAAACAATCCAATCTCATGGTGTAGTAGTCACAATCAAAAACAGGCAGTATGAACTAGAGGAAGATCAGACTATCATAGACAAGGCAGGTACTGCAATGGGTCTTTCTAATACTCAACAGCATGTGGCAATACAAGAAGATGAACATAGGTAGGTGAATCACATAGAGGAAGCAGGTAGAGACTTTGATGAGGAATCAACAACACAAAATTTTAGGAATGTGGCAAGGATGGGTGATTTATCTCCTAGACATACGGATAAAGGAAAATCAGCAGGGAGAGGGAAAAAGAAAAATCCAAAGGAAACTCAAAGTGTAGTTCCTGGGGTCCAAACAAGAAGAAATCTATCTAAATCCCATAATCAATCATGAATGCACTCATATGGAATATAAGGTCAGTCAAGAAAAAGCAAGCTTTTGAAAGACTAATCAACATGAATAAGCAGCATCATTTTCAATTCATAGGAATCGTGGAACCAAAACAAAAACCTAGGAAGCTGGAGTGGTACAGGAGGAAGAAAGGTATGTTGCAGGCTTGTGGTAATGTATCAAACAAAATTTGGGTGTTTGTTGATGAAGATCATGATGTAGATATTTTGATTAACATGGAGCAACAGATGACAATGAGGATTACAAACATGGATACGCAGGTATCAATCACAGTAACCTTTGTATATGCTAAATGTGATCCCACTGATAGAATAGAACTGTGGGATAACATGTATTACCTAGCCAGAGATATGTCACTTCCTTGGCTTGTGGGGGGTGATTTCAATATGATATGGGATGAGGAGAAGAAGTTTGGTGGATTGCCTGTTTCTCTAAATGAGGTAGATGACTTTAGACATTGTGTTACCACATGCAACCTCACAGATTTAGGCTTTAAGGGTAGCATATATACCTGGTGGAATGGAAGAGCAGGAGAAGATTGTATATTCAAGAGGCTGGATAGGTGCCTAGCAAATGCAGAGTTTCAGAACCTGATGCCTGCCCTTGAAATCACTCATCTATCAAAGGTAGGGTCAGATCACAGTCCTATGATGCTAAACTGTAGAAACAATATGGTGCCAGTGAAAAAGCCTTTTAGATTCCTCAATTTCTGGACCAAACATCCTACTTTTAAATCTGTTGTAAAGGAAAACTGGAGTGCAGATTTTGCTGCTGATCCTTTTATTATGTTCAATCTCAAGTTGAAGAAAGTAAAGAAAGCATTGTCAACATGGAGCAAGGCAACCTATGGTGATATATTTCAGAAAATAGATAGTCTAGAAGAGGTGGTATTGGTGCATGAAGCTGAGTTTGAAAGGCATCCAACATATGAAAATAGAAAAAGATTACAAAAAGTGCAAGCTGAACTCATTAGATATCTGAGTTTAGAGGAGGAATTTTGGAGGCAAAAATCAGGCATGGCTTGGTTTCAAGATGGGGACAGAAATACAAAGTTTTTTCATGCACAAGTCAATGGGAGAAGGAAAAGATTACAGTTAAAAAGAATACAGAATGAAGCGGGAATTTGGTTAGAAGAGGAAGCAGACATGGCAAAGGAGGCAATAAGGTTCCATCAAGCCCAGTTTCATGAGGAATCTGCACCTAGCTCTTTTGAAATATTGCAACATATACCTATTATGGTGGACAATGAGAAAAACATGGAGTTAGTGCAGCAGCCTACCAAGGAAGAGATCAAAACTGCAGTTTTTGGGCTTAGTGGAGAAAAAGCTGGTGGACCGGATGGTTTTAATGGTACATTCTTTCACTCATGCTGGGATATAATTGCTGATGATATAGAAGACATGGTTATAGCTTTCTTTAATGGACATGCATTGCCAAGATTTGTAACTCATACAAACTTGGTACTTCTGCCAAAAAAGAAAGAAGTAGAGACATTTTTAGACATGAGACCAAATAGTCTCAGCAATTTTGTGAATAAAATTTTCTCAAGAGTGGTGCATGAGAGACTGGCTGGTATTTTGCCTAGTCTAATTTCAGAGGAGCAGGCAGGTTTTGTCAAAAGGAGAAGCATAGTGAAAAATGTGTTATTGACACAAGAAATAGTTACTGATATCAGAATGAGAACCAAGGAAGGTCCAAATGTTGTGATAAAATTGGATATGACCAAAGCTTATGATCGTTTATCTTGGCTGTTCTTATCAAAGGTGCTGAGAAAAATGGGGTTTGGAGAATGATTTATAGGGCTGGTGTTTGGGCTTGTATCAAATAACTGGTACTCTATATTGTTAAATGGTCAACCTCATGGCTTCTTTAGATCAACTAGAGGAGTCAAACAAGGTGACCCTTTGTCACCTGCCTTATTTATACTGGCAGCAGAAGCTCTTTCTAGAGGTTTAAACTCATTACATAATAATCCCAGCTTTTGTGTTTTTGGCCTTCCAAAATGGAGTCTTAAGATTAATCATCTAGCCTATGCCGATGATACAATAATCTTCTCCTCTTCAGATGCTAGATCACTGCAACTCATTATGCAAATCTTGGCAGCATATGAAACTGCTTCTGGGCAATTGATAAATAGAAGCAAATCAGCAATCTATATGCATCACTCAGCCAGAGTGCAGGTGATAGATAAGGTTCAGAGGATTACAGGCATTCCTAAGCAGGAATTTCCATTTACATACCTGGGGTGTCCTATTTTTTAACTTAGAAGGAGAATGGCATATTATCAGGATTTGATAACAAAGGTTATGGACAAGCTACAGAACTGGAAAGGAAAGCTATTATCCATTGGAGGAAGGGCAGTACTTATCAGTCATGTTCTGCAAAGCATGCCCATTCACTTGCTCTCTGCAGTTAATCCTCCATCTTATGTTATTAGCAGAATGCATAAGGTATTTGCTCAGTTCTTCTGGAGTGATTCAGTGGGTACATCAAATAGACATTGGGCATCTTGGAATACACTGTGCTTACCATGTGAGGAAGGAGGAGTGGGCTTCAGATCATTACATGATATGGCTACTGCATTATTTTGCAAGCTTTGGTGGAATTTCAGAACCAAACCAAGCTTGTGGAGCTCTTTTATAAGCCAGAAATACTGCAAGAAGCTTAATCCTATTGTAGTACCTTGGAGAGAGGGCTCACATGTGTGGAGGAAAATGCTTGAGTGCAGAGACATCATTGAACATCAGATTCTTTGGCAACCTAGGATGGGATCTTCTTTATTTTGGTATGAAAATTGGACTGGACTGGGGGCTTTGTATTTTGTTACTCCTGCAGATTTTGTGATTGATGAGTCTATCCAAAACATATATGATGTGGTACATGGAGGGCAGTGGAATGAAGAAAAAATAAGAAATATACTTCCTGATGAACTTGCTTCTTTTATTCTGGAAAATATACAGCCTCCATTTAGGAGCAACATGATTGATAAGCCAGTTTGGATGCTTGAGACAAAGGGGGAATTTAGTGTCAAATTTGCTTGGGAGTATGTCAGAAGAAGACAAGATCCTTGTATTGCTTATAGGAACATTTGGATAAAAGGATTGCCATTCAAAATATCCTTTTTCATGTGGAAAGTCTGGAGGAATAAACTACCTTTAGATGAATTCTATAGAAAATTAGGTTATTTAATGGCATCAAAATGCTGGTGTTGCATTGAACCAAGGGAAGAAACTATGCAGCATCTGTTCTTTTATGCACCTGCTGCAACTACTGTGTGGAAATATTTCTTAGGGCATGCAGGAATCACAATGGAGGGGATCACACTACATCAAACTATTGTTAAATGTTGGATTGCTGAGGTTATTCCAAGAATGAAACCTATTTTGTAAGCATTACCATCAGTGATTATATGGGAGTTATGGAAGAGGAGGAACAGCTATAAATATGGTGATGCTGTCACAGTCAATAGGGTGATATACCAAGTGTCCACGACCATGCAGCAGCTTGTTAAACTTAGAAAGCCAGGCATTCAGAATCCACCTCATAAATGGCCAGATTTACTAAGGGTGCTTGAGCAATATACACCTATGTTGAAATATACAAAGGTGATGTGGGAATTTCCAAGTCAAGGTTGGATCAAGGTAAATACTGATGGTGCCTCGAGAGGAAATCCTGGTAGAAGCTCGATCGGTTATGTAGTGAGAAATGAAGAAGGAGATGTAGTATATGCTTGTGGTAAGGAGATTCAAGAGGGTTCAAACTCTGTAGCTGAAGCAAGAGCAGTTCTTGAGGCTTTGAAATACGGTGTAGACCAAGGCTATGTACTAATTGAACTGAATACTGATTCCATGATGCTTAAAAATGTGATAGTTGGGGAATGGAAGATACCATGGAATATCAGTGATATAGTTGAGGAGATCAACCAGCTGATGACAAGGTGTAACACTACAGTAGCTCACATTCTCAGAGAAGGAAACAGTTTAGCAGATTATATTGCAAATTATGCTTTGGATCAGGGGCCATTAGAGTGTTTTGGTTTTCAGGACTTGGACTCACATGGAAGGAGATTGGTGAATAGTGATAAATTACAATATCCATACATAAGGGTGAAGGTAGCAAGGGCTTAGATATGTCAAAGGAGGAAGCTAAGACAACTCTTCATCATACTCAAATCTTTTGGGAGGAGAGTATGGTGGAGATCTTTTTTACTAACATGGTTTTCTTTTTTGCAGGGAAAGTTACTGTGGCTATGCCCTATTATTTGGTGGATCTCCAGTTGGTGGTATTAGTGCTAAGCACTCATTTCATTGGAAGAAAATCAAATATAGGCACAAGCATAGGAGCAGGAAAATATAAAATGCTGTCCAGTATTTCAGAGATAGCTAAGCAGCTTTGGAAAGCACTAATAGTTAAAGTTGAGCTGGACGGTATGAACAAAAAAGAGGAGACCAACACCTTATTATCATCAATAGGAAGCAAACCAGTTGTTGATAATAAGGTGCAGCAGAAATCAAAGTTTGATACAACTAAAATATTTACCAACATACAGGAACACATGAGGTGCAGAGCTGAAGGACAAACATTCAACAAAAGCAGGTGGAAGCAATCAAGGAAAAGAGAGTTACATGCAGTAAATCAGACAAAGTACAAACACAAGCAGAATTAGAAAAAAGATAAACAAGACTCAAGACCATATTGTGCAGAAAATCAAAAGGAGCAGACAACAGGAATTTCAAGAGAGAAGGACTGTTTGTTAACTGAAACTGTAGGTAATAATCCAAAGTGTAAGCGAAGGAAATTAATGCCTACAGTAACCTGGATAGGCAACACGCACAGAAGAATTAGAGGATCACAGTATCAATGCAGAAGCATACATAATAGAACATGCAACATAGAGGCAGGGAACTGGACATTGTCAATAGCAATCATGCAAATGGGGATGCATCATGATAGCAAAAGTGAAAAATACAGATTATATAAATGCAAGAATGATGAAGTACTAGGATACTCATATGGACAGAATCACAATGTGACGGGCTATTATGGCAAGCAAATTTTCATCAACACGGCAGGTGGCTATTTTTGTAATAGATTAGCTTATTCTCATTACTTAGTTTCTTTTACTAGTTTTGATGTTAATATCAGTATTGGGTTTAAAAGCCCAAATATTGATAATAGGAGATATGTATTTCACAAAGTATATTGTCTTGATTATGGTAAGACAACATGGGATCTTGTTTATTTTTGTTTTTCGATATATAAAAACTAGCCCTAGGCGCTCAGCCTAGTGGATTTGATTAAAAAAACCAAAACCCTAAACCAAGTCCGCGTTGGAGTCTAGAGAGAGAGGCTCTGGCGATTTTTAGCTTCTAGTGAGAGAAAGTACCGCGATCAGCTGCCATGGCCAATCTGGCCGGCGACCAGCCTATTTCTCCGGCTGGTCAGCCCCCCCCCCCCCCCCCCCCCCCCCCCCC